GTTTTCGTCCTCTTTTTCTTTGATCTGTTGCTACACGCACTCTGCCCAAGACAATGTCAAGTTTCTCAACCTTTTCTTTCCCAGCCTATGAAAAGTCGGGCGCAGAGAAGCGAGGACCGCCTGGCTCTTATTTCAAATCAGTTCTCAGGGATGTCGTAGGCGGCTGGCTTGGGCCGCGGAGGAGCCTCGCCAATCAGGAACAGGGGGTGGTCCTGGGAGCCAGCGAGGCTGCCTCCGCGAGGATTAGGGTAGCTTTCAGGAGTCAAATGACTGGAAGCAGCTGGAAACAGTGCCCAGAGCTCCCAAAGTAAAGGATGAGTTCTATTATCTAACAGTCCTGCGTCTGCTCAAAGAATAACTAGCTTCGGGCTTTAAATCCTTGCATTTTTAAGAGCTCCCTAGAAGCATTAAAACATTTGGAAAGTGCAGAATTATTTCAGCCAGGAAAGTTCAACACTCAGTACCCAAGGGTATTTTTAAAAGAGTATCTTGCACTGGATACCTACTTCTGCAAAGACATTGGAGAGGAAAACAAATTGTTATGTTAACACTTTAACTGAAACAAGCTCTCAAAGGAAGGAGCTGCTACCCACCTCATCTCCATAGAAACTGAAGATCCACTCTATGAAAAACAAATCTTAATGGGGCTGTGCACACAAATATTTTGAAATACAGCAAATGAACAAGGATCTTTATCAATGAGGACCCAAGGCATGATTTCAAATAAAAATCTCAATAGAACAATAAATGCTGACTTTTCTAAACAATATTAAGGAAACTTTAATTCCATCTCTAATATGGCTGGCTGACTTGTATGTTTCTAAAAGCAACACTGACATTTTTGTTAAGAAAAAAGTTAAAAATAAGTGCATCTACCTTTCACTATGGTTTCCCTGACCTACACAAGGTTCATCTGCTGAGCTTACTAACAGAGACAAACTGGGATATCATCTCAGCAGGATGGCAGGAGAACCAACTGGCTTCTTAGAAACTTCAACCCAGACTTAAAAAGGAATTTCCAAAGTTTGCTTTCTTAACTCCTTTTAAACAGTAACTCTTTCCAACCCTTAGTATGATTTCAATGAAAATCTACCTCTTGGATTTCATGAAAGAGCAAGTTGAGCAAATACCACTTTGTATAGATCAAATAATATTTTTTTCCCAAAGTGGTGACCACAAATTTGTGAGGATAATTCAATAAATACTTTAAATTTTTTTGGTATTAGAGAAAAAGACAACTTAGTAAATAATGAGTCATTGGCTTCAGGAGTGTCTTCCACATGGGTTCAATATGTGTGAGCTTGGCCCAATTCTATGAAAATTTGCCATCCTGCTGTGTGTTCACAATCTGCCTACTGTCCACAACCCTATCCCAGCCCCAACCCCACCTGAGCACCACTTCTTTTACTTCAGAGACCTTCACTAAGCCCAAGATCAGTGCTTGTGAACCTTGGCACTACTGACATCAGGATCAGTAATTATAGTGGAGCCCCTCAATGTGCTATGGCATGTTTAGCAATATCCCTAAACTCTGCCCACTAGGTGCCAGTAGAACCTCCATGGTCAGGACAATGGATAATGTCTCCCGACTTTACCAGATATTCCCTGGGTAGCAAAATCAGGCATTGAAAGGTTAATTCTTGAACTTGAGACTGCAAGGAAATTTCTAGGAAGTCTGTTAAAAATGTAAATCCTTAGGGCCCTTCTCTAAGGGAATCTGACTGGTAGGTTTGCAGAGGAGCCTGAGAAACAAATTCCTACTGCTGAAGGACTCTGATTCACTTTTAAAAGAGAGACTGCACCTATCCTGGCCCTAGGCATAACCTAGTCCCAGAACATAGGAAGCTACCAGGCCTGCTACCACTGGAGTTAGAACCCACCACACATCTATTTATTTAACAGAAGCTTCTCAGAAGTGTATGTTGTCATCACATCAAAGGTATATATACACATATGTTAGGATTTTCTCTCTCAAGGCTGGTGCCCTTTCAAAGTTTCTGCCACTTTTCTCTCCTTTGACCCATTCTCGCATGATCCTATGATCTCAAATGTCAATATTCTTTAGTGGTTCCCCTAATGCCCCAAGAAAAAGTAATGTCTCCCTTCCTTCTATGCTCATAAAGCAGCTTCTACAACACCAGTGGTATGCAGTGTTTTAACAACCAGCTCTCAAAATAAATAAGTAAATATTTGTAGTAGTAAATAAGTAAATAAGTAAAGATTTGTAGTAGTCCTGCCAATTTCCATGGTATAAATACTCCTTCCTTCCTACAGTGAGGAGAAGGGCTGAACTTGGAGTTGGAAAGGAGATGGGAAGCACCAGCTGAGCAGACCATGATCTGTCTCTGCTGATTCATTTCCAAACTGAAATGCAATCATATATTTTTGAGTCTCTCTCCTATATTTAGTGTGAATGTCTCAATGGCAAGTATATACACAAAGGCACATCAATGTTTATAGCAGTTCAATTCATAATAACTAAGCTAAGGCACCAACCTAGGTGCCCTTCAATAGATGAATTAATAATGAAAATGGAATATTACTCAGCCTTAAGGAAGAATAAAATTATGGCATTTGTAGGTAAATGGATGGAACTGGAGACTATCATGCTAAGTGAAATAAGTCAGTCCCCAAAAAACAAACCAAATGGTCTCTCTGATATGGGGATGCTAACACACAATAAGCAGGGGAAGAGGGTAGAAGTTCACTGGATTAGATAAAAAGAGTGAAGGAACAGAGGGGAGATGGAAATAGGAAAGGCAGTAGAATAAATCAGACATAATTTTCCTGTGTTCATATATGAATACATAACTAGTGTAATGCCACAATATATTCAACCACAAGAATGGGATCCTAATTAGAATAAGTCATACTCTATGTATGTATGTGTCAAAATACACTCTACTGTCATGTATGTCTAAAAAGAACAAATTTAAAATCAAAGAATGGTATCTTATATATCTTTGTAACCTCAGCTATTTTCACCTACCTTCATGTACAAACATTATAGAATGAAAACAAAATGTAGTGACTAGCTTTCCCCTACACATGGAGAACAATCAAAACTCTGCCACTACTACATTATGGAAGAGGAAGGAATCTTTTGGAAAATACAACTCTTACAGTTACCTTTTTACCATAACTTAGGATCTATTCTGAACTTCTGACAACAGTAAACATAATGCCTTCTCCCACCTTAACACTGCTATGTTCAAGCTATATCTAGATTGGAGTGGGGAAGAGACCATCCTCTAGCACAGAACCCCAACTTCATGGACATGTTCATGAGACAATGTATTTTTGTGGTTTTATATGAAGGTACACATACATTTGCATCTGTATACTTATACATCTTCTCAGCCACTGAGCTAGGACTTTGAGGAGGAATCTCTATAATAATCTCTGGTAGGTAAATGAAAGGGGATAAGAAGTAAGAAGTATAAGTAAGAAGTACAGCTATTGATGATGCTTACCTCCATTATTTTCTCATTATGTATTAAGACAGGAATGCTAATGGTGGTGTCTTGGCTATTATGAGCCAAGCACTGTGCCAGGCACATCACAATGTGCACCATTTAATTGCCATCCAAATACCAAAAGGTAGGAATCACCATTGGTAGGCAGGATTATTGGGGCAAAGAAAAGATACTCAAGTCTTACCTTCATGAATGGTTTTACCAAGAATCAAACCTAAGTGTATCAGATTAGAATCATTCTGATTTGTGCCTGCTATGGTCTGAATGTTTGTCCCCTCACCCCAAATTCACATTTTGAAATCCTAGCCTGCAATGTGATGATGTTAAGAGGTGGGGGCCTTTGCAATGTGATTAGGTCACTTCATGAATGGGTTAGTTAGAGCCCTTATAAAAGAGGCCTGAGGTTGTCTGTTTGCCCTTTCTGCCCTGTGAGGATACAGAAACAGGCACCATCTATGGAGCAGAAAGCAAGTCCTTGATCTTGGACTTCCCAGCCTCCAATATTGTGAGCAATAAATTTCTATTGTTTATACATTACCCAGTCTAAGATACTTGGTCTAATAGCCTGAACTAAGTGTTATATAATACGCTGTCTCCAGAAATGATTTGGACGACCTCTAAGAAAAGTGAATGATGGAAATAAGTGAAGTCTTCTTTTGCATTTACATATAAATATAACTTTCTAAAATGTTAAATGAAGGGCTGGGGTTGTGGCTGGTGATAGAATGCTCACCTAGCATGTGTGAGGCCTGGGTTTGATCCTCAGCACCACATAAAGATAAATAAATAAAGGTATTAAAAATGTTAAATGAAATGAATAGCCCTTTGGGGGTTTCCCATTGAGTGAGGATTTCATAATCCACTGGTAACAGTATAAGCCAGTAAAGTGAAGCAAGAAACTTGCTTCCCCCAAAGAAATGGATGTTCTGATCCCAAGTCTGTGATTAACAGTTTGCAAATGTTAGCTAAAAGGATGTTCTAAATCTTGACAGTGCTTCCTTTAAAAAACAGCCCAGATGATAATCCTCTAGAGTTTTGTGCGAGTTTGGTTATACACAGTCCTCTGCAGCAAACTGAACATAAGTTTCTGGGTGGATATTAAGAGACAGGCCCTACTTAGACACAGATGAACATTGATACACACTCCTGAAGGATAACTAACCATACCTGTGCCACTTCCTTCAATGATTTAATAGGTCAAAGCCTACAGAATGGTGAAAAATTGTTGAACTGGGCATGGTGGTGCACTTCTGTAATGCCAGTGGCTCAGGAGGCTGAGGCAGGAGGATCACAAGTTTAAAGCCGGCCTCAACAAAAGTGAGGCCATAAGCAACTAGTGAGACCCTGCCTCTAAATAAAATACAAAATAGGGCTGAGGATGTGGCTCAGTGGTCGAGTGCCCCTGAGTTCAATCCCCAGTACCCCCCGCAAATGGTTGAATATTGTTTTTTTTTGGTTGAATATTGTTAACTTCATATAGTTTATTCTAATGTGTGTCAAGATACATCATCAAAATTCAAGAAAGTTCTTACTTCTGCAGTACACATTGAAATTGGAACAACACAGAGAAGATTAGCATGACCCCTACACAAGGATGGCATACAAATTTGTGAAGCTGGTGACACATGCCTGTAATCCTGGCTACTTGGGAGGCTGGAGCGGGAGGATCACGAGTTTGAGGCCAGCCTGGGCAATTTAGCAAGACCCTTTGTCAAAAAAAAAAAATTAAAAAGGGCTGGGAATGTGTCTCAATAATAGAACACTTGCTTAGCATGTACATGACCCTGGAGTCTGTGGCACCACCAGAAGAAAAATAAAATCGATGAAATTCAAGCTGATGTTGCTACATAGTCACCTAGAAGAATGTGTCCAGTGTAAGGATTCATTCTTGGGGATCTATGAAAATAGTGTTTTTGCTTTTATTCTCCCCAAGAAGTTCTAGAAATCCAGTTGTTTTATTCTTATGATGGCAGAAGAAAATTTGAGAAACACTGTGTTCAAGGTGATTAGTGAAGATAATTTAAGTTGACAACAACATAAGTTCCTGCTTAGAGAAGGAAAATCCTATCTAGAATTCTTATGGAAGCCACAGGAAAGAATTAAGTTTCTGCTCACTGAAGACAGGTCTCATTAAGTTAGTTTCTTTCTGTTGTTAAGGGAAGCAGTGCCACATTACAGTAAGGACAGAGCAAATGGGATTTGGAATCTCTTTGTGGTGCTGACTTGGCTACAACTGACAGATGGACTCCAGGTGAACCAACTGGCATCTCTAAGCCCCAGATTTCTCTGGGGACAGTTGGGCAGATTGAATGAAATCAGGAAGTGTGCCTGGTGCAAGTGCTATTGCTTGTTTCATGAATGTCTCAGATGACTAACTCTGGAAGAAGGGAAGGAATCTGTGAATACAGAAATAAAACACATACACACCAAGAGAAATAGTTTAGGAGAATACCCCCTAAAGGCAGGCTTTCATGCAGGGCAGAACTGACTGAATGGTCATCAGTCAGGGTTTGAAATAAATTAGGCTTGAGAATTCCTCACTTGAAAATTAAAATCTTAAAACAAATCATGTAATTTTAAGTTTCAATTATAACTAATCATTGTATGCATTTAGAGATGAAATGTATAGACAGTTTCTAGATTTTGTTGATTAAGTACAGCTGATTCTTCATTCTCTTTCTCTTAGTAATTTGGTAAATGATGTATGCATGAATTTAGCAAGGGCTTTTTGTTCTTTTCATTTTTGTTATGATTTGGGGGATTTTGTTTTTGTTGGTGCTAGGGATAGAACCCAGGGACTCATACATGTTAGGCAAGCGCTCTACCATTGAGATTTACCCACAGTCCTTTTTTTTTTTTTTTTGGAGACAGGGTCTTGCTATGTTGCCCAGGCTGGCTTCAAACTCCTAGGATCAACTGATCCTCCTGCATCTGCTTCCCAAGTAGCTGAGACTATAGGCTTCGCTGTGCCTGGCTCTAAGGGGTTTTGTAGTCTCCTCTCACTCTCAAAATTTGTCTCCATTCCCAATAGAACCCTTCTGCTTCATTTCAACAAAGTAGTATCCTACTTTCCAGAGTAATTCTACAATTTCTAAGTAATCTACTTTTTGCCATAATTTTCTATTGGAATTTGTAAGAGGAAAATTATTAAATCAATTTTTGGGAGGGGTACTGGGGAACCCACCAATGCTTAGCCACTGAGCCACATCCCCAGCCCTTTTTTATTTTTTATTTTGAGACCGAGTCTCACTAAATTGCTTAGGGCCTCAAAAAGTTGCTAAGGCTGGTCTTGAACTGGTCTTGAAATCCTCCTGCTTCAGTCTCTCAAGTCACAAGGATTACAGGGGTGCACCACAATGCCTGGCTTGAATCAATTATCTTTTACTAATCTTATTATCTGTTCTTCCTAGATGCTGAGCTCATTGAGGCCCATATCAATCAAGACTCTCCAGAGATGCAGAGCCAGTAGGATGCATAATACACATATAAGATTGTTTCAAGCTTGTATGGCTGTAGGGACTTGCGATTCTGGCATTTATAGGGCAGGTCAGTAGGAGCTGACCCTGTGATCTTGAGGCAAAACTTCTTCCTGGGGGGGAATCTCAATTTTGTTGTGAAGGACAAAGTAGGATGAGGCCCACCCACATGATCAAAGATAATCTTCTTAAAGTCAACTAATTGTAGCTGTCAATCACATCTATAAACATCTCCATAGCAAAGTTAATATTTGATTGAAGAAGTGGGTACCATAGCCCAGCCAAGTTAAAAAAAAAATCACATAACCCACACCCAAACATTTATCTCTCTTGCAACAAGAACGTATTAGTTAATAAATGCTTATTGAACTGTTGCAACTAACAATTATAATTTAAAACCTCTATCAGTAGAAGGCTTCTTCATAAAAGATGTAATTTTGCTAAAATATCTATTATATACTTCTCAATGGTATCCCTGGAAGGTAAGAGACATAAAATTTCTTAACCACTGAGCTATATCCCCAGCAATTTTTTAAAATATATTTTATTTTGAGACAGGGTCTCACTAAGTTGTATAGGGCCTCTCTACATTGCAGAGGCAGGCTTTGATATCGTGATCCTCCTGCCTCAGCTTCCAGAGTTGCTGGGATCAGAGGCATGTGCCACTGCACCCAGCAAGAGCAATACAATTTTGAGATACATGATTTCTAATTGACAATTCTATATTATGTCATACTATCAATCAAATGTCAGGATTGTATGCAATTATTTTCACACAAAGTTTGAAAATTTTTGCATCCCATATGTTCCTTTGGAAACCACTCAAAGATGTGTTTTAGCAAAATGAGGGAATTAAACCTGGAAAGATAAGCCAATGAGACTGGGAAAATAGAGGATCCAATATATAGAGAGGTAAGAAAAGTCCAAGATGATAGAGGCATCATTTTAGAAAGGCCCAATTTTAAATTGTAGCAGGAATATGAAGGACTCTGGGAGGTTTAGATCTCTAAAGAGGAAAAAAAATGACACTGATAGATTAAATTTGAGGTTTTAAATTAAACAGGTACACACAAATATAAGAAAAATGTGAGGCTATCATTAACTCCAGGAAAAACAAAAACTGCATGAAAACAGAAGCACAGTCATAGAATGCTCCTTAAATTGACAGTGAACTCTGATACTGATATTGTAGCAGAGACAATTGTAGCAGAGACAATTAGTCATCAGTCCAGTATCCATCTTTCCTTTCTTTCTTTACAAAAGAACTTCAATTAATTTAGGGCAGAAATGTGTGCAAATGAAGAATAGTTCCTAGTTTTCCTTACAGGTATGGGTGATTAAGTGAAACTATTATAGACTTCAAAACGGTAATAGAAGCTCCTATGTAGGACTTTGGGGAAAGATCATTAAAGGGGACACACACTTCTCTTTACCCTTCCCAGATTTCCCCATGAGGAATATGTTTGCAAAGCCTAAGGGCCATAAGGAGCATAAACCACATTGTAAAGACTAGATAACAAAAAAGCTAGAAACATCCTGGATTCCTAATGACATTTTGGAGCCTCTATATGAGCCCTGAGTCCTGAACTTCATGTTTTGTGAGAAAAATTAATCACTAATCTGTTAGAACGAGTTTTTTTTTTTTTTTTTTTGAATGTGGTGCAATACATTTGTATGTATCTGTCATCATCTTGATTCAAGAATGGTCATTTTTTAACTTTTATTTATTTGTGGTGCTGAGGATAGAACCCAGGGCCTCACCCATGCTAGGCAAGTGCTTTCTTGCTAATCTACAACCCCAGCCCTGAACCAGTGTTTTGATATTGGTGAAACTAGGTAAAGTAATTTTGTGACACTATTATATTAGGAAAAGGTGGTATGGGAATGAAAAGGGATAAATTCCATCTTTCTTTGTTTCTTTTTTTTTTTTGTGGTGCTGGGGATCAAACATAGGGAAGGATAATTCCCTTTTGATCATATATAGAATGTTAAAGATAATGTCTAAAATTCATAAGCCAAGAAAGAGCAGTAAAAGGATATTATGGGAAATATGGAAGTACATACCAAAGGAAATATTTACCAGTTGAAAATGATTACCCCTAGGGCGGAGAGGGATGGAACAAAGATTGCTGGTTTTCATTATGAGTCTTTAATACATTTGTACTTTGAACATGTATTACTTTGATAAAAATTAAAATTAGTGAAAAATAAAAAGGCACTCACTTGCAATTAAAGCAATTTTTATCCTTAAATTCATTTCCTGTGAACTAACAGTGTTTTATGATTATTTGACCTATGGTTGACGAAAGAGTCATAGTAGAATTTTAGAGAAATTACATGCCTGATGGCCCATTCTGAACCCCCAAGTGTAATGTCACCATGTAGTGCACATATGAGCTGATTGGCATTTCCTGTTTCCTCCACCACAGCTTTAATTTGCTCAAGGTTTATGACTGATTTGCCATGTGTATCCAGAAATACATATATTAGCCCTGATCCAAACTGTTTTAGACAAACATTCTTTTAGATCTCTAGGAATGAAGATTCTACAACCCAGATGCCTTAATAATTCATTAGCGTAATCAAAACTCCTTTTTCCTTCTTACTAATTTAATGATATCATTCTTGATTTAAAATCTGTTTTTTTTTTTTGTTGTTGTTGTTGTTGTTGTTGGTAGGTTTAAGTGTGGGTAGGAGTAGCTGGTAACCGTTTTCCATATTATAACCATTTTGCTTCTTATTATTCTTTTATCTCACTTTCCTTAAAGGTGAAAAGGATTAGTCCCTCAGGCTTTTAATATTTTAATGCCCCAAACTGGCTTTTAAATTAGTCCTAGAGATTAAAAAATTAACTTTTGTGAATCAGATCTCACTTTTGCATGTTAGAAACAAGCAAATCAGGCTGGATCATTTATAATAACATGGACATAAGAAGGTGATTAGAAATTTTCATCAAAAGAAGCTGTGCACAGGAATTGCACTCCTTGCTTATAAAAATTCAGTGTTTTATCTTGTAGATTGGCACTTCTCAAATGCCCACAAAGATTGCCAGGATGGTAATGTCATTTCTGATTGGTGAAAACCCTCTTCCACTTCACACATAATAGCTAGACTTGGATTTAAGATGATGATAAAGATAAAAACTACTTATGA